TGTTTAGTTTCAGTCTTAAAGGAAACTTCCAATCGCTTATCTGGTCTTATAAGCCACTGAGGAACTATTGCAAAGTCCTTTGCATGCAGTTTTCTTCTTGTTTTTAATCACAATCACGTATCACTGATTTCACGTTTTGTAATGCTCTTTGCAAACAGTTTCTTCAAACTCCTAAATCTACTGCTTGTCTGATTCTGCTTGAACTCTATACTTGCACTCAGATATACATTTTTGCTTTCACAGATTTCCAGTGCTTCTTCAATCATGCTTTCTTTGTATTACATATTTAATTTAAAATATTAAAGTGTAAATAAAAAGGATCGTTAACAGATTATCACAGTAACTAATAACTCCATACCAGGGTTGGCTGTGAAATGCAGATTATATGTAGTGGCCAGGCAACAGGAGCTTTGCTGCATCTTCCTGCTGTTAAAAATAGCGGCACAGCGACTTAGAATATCTATTAATAGATCTGCACGTCTCCAGGGTGTTCTGCAACCTGTCGGGACACAAGTTGACTGAGCAATGAGCACCGCTGTGACATTCTCATATCAATGCTCCACATAAAGCAACTTGGTCAGTGGCACCTATGACAGCGTGTCAATGTACACTTGTGACATGCATAGCATCTTGAGTAAGTTAGGTTCCGGCAACAAAACATGAACATCGGAATATTTGGATTCGGCTCAGAGTGTACAGAGAGCCTTTGAGTTTTAATTTGTCAAACAAGACATGAATCATAAAATGTCACTTTAAATGAACTATTAATTGACAAACAAAATAAATCTATTAGCTAAGTCATCTGAATTTTACTGATGATATTCGTGTAAATTTGTTTGAGCTATTTTTTAAGACAAAATCTTCTTACAATCTCAATTTCACAGATTTCTTTTCCTTTCACCTTTTCTCCCCGTCCATTCCTTGTACTGCTCTCTCCTCGGACCAGGCGGAAAAGTCCTGTTTAAAAATGTCTTCAATTCCTGCTCTACCCAAAATGTGGACATCCCCAAAACACAACTTACCATGCTCAGTGACAAACGCACACACACACACATACATGCCAGACTTATAACCAGCTACTTTTTTATGCTGATCCACAAAGAGAGCAGTCACGCAGATAAATGATGGGAAACCAAACTGTGGGATGTTCGAGAGGGTGGGAGGCAGGGGAAAGACAACCAAGAGGCAGAGAGACAGAGAGATAGAGGGAGAGCGAGACAGAGAGACGGAGAGAGAGAGACAGAGAGAGAGGGAGAGACAGATCAGAGCTTGTTGAGAAGAGCTTTTGGCTTTTCTCTGAGGATAAAGCTTGTTCCGGCCTTGTGCTGCTGAGTCTTGGTGCAGCAGCGTCCATGATGCTGAATCGGCTGGAGGGTGTTCCGTCTCTCTTCATCTCCCTCCCTCCTTCCCTCTCTTACATTTTCTCTCCTCCTCTGTCTTTAGCTCTTGTGCCGTCTCATTGTCTCTCCCACTCAACTTAACAGACGCTTTATGGTTATGAAGCACAGCATGTTGCCACGACAATGACCACACTTTATTTTCTTGGAATGACAGTCAAAGACCGCAAGGCATGAACATCTATAAATTGAATAAGCTATGGAACATATGACAGATTGTCAATCAGAAAACATATAATGAAAACATTACGTGATGATGTTTTGTTTTAGTTTTTTTGTAGTGGATTGCATTGGAATTGTTTTCCTATGAAGGGCTAAATCATTCAAAAGGAGAAAAATTCCTCTCTGTATAAAAAACGACACTGCTCATTTTTTCAAATGCCCATCCATAACGTGTTTACATAATAATTTCACAAGGAACTCCTAATGGCTCTTGTGAACTCTTCAGTCTAATGTTTCAAGGGAGTAAGGACATACGGACAAAAGTCTACATTAATAAATCAAATGCTTTGAGAAACAAACATTTTTATCTTTGATTATTTATTACCATGGTCATTTGCAAGGACCATCTTTGGAGGGAAGCTTATGAGGATAGAATGTCAGTATTGCCGACTTTGATCAACAAATTAATTACAGGCTAAAGAGACATTAAACTGCAGTGGCAAAATGCAAAACATAGCAAATAAAGTTCTCTGCTCACCTTTCCTTTCTTCTTCTTTTTCATTGTTCACGTATTATTTTTTCAACATTTTCCTCCAGGTGTTATTAGTCACACTGTTGTGGTACTTTTACCACCATGTAGGCCTACTGTCTATTTAGGGAGGAATGCTTTTCTGGCTTGCGTAAGTATCGTGTTCTTCTCTCGGAATACCTTTCTTTCTAGTTTGGTTTGGAAATATGTTATATGGCATAGTTTGATTATTCAACAATAATGACACTGACTGATTAAAACCCCTCTATGGGCTCTGCACCATGGTGACAATGAAAGGTGCAGTTTTCTAAATAATTGTTATTAGAAGATATTGAACAAATTACAAATATGCTGAACATGCTGAACCTCGAAGGGATTTCTGAGGGCAGTAAAGATTTTCGTAATTTACAATCAACCCTGGGTTTCTCTTCTCATCTTTCCCATCTTGCTTCCACTCATTTCTGTTTAGCGTTCCTCATGAACTCAATGTGATAGCTTAACATTGACCATATGTATTTTTCATTGACTAATATTAATACAGCTTGTACAAAACCACTCAGCGGGACTCTTGGGCTGGCAATTATTTGTCATTTCAGGATACCAAAATGAGCAAATCAAGTTGCTCCTAAGGGTAACAAAATCTATTATAATATCGCTGATTCCTCAGAAACAAGACTCTGATCCTTGTTTACACTAATAGTTAAAGAAATGCTGCTGCAGGCTACTTAAATGCCATCTCATTACATCTTCCAGGAGAAGTGACGTTTTTGCATGTTGTTTCCCCAAATAATCTTCTAATACCTCCAATCTGTCTATCTCTCTCCCACATGCACAGACATTATTTTATCTGTTAAGAGACTGACTTCTTGTCTATGTAGCCCAGAGGTCTCTCCGTTTAGCTCAGAGTTAGAGAAAATGAAGGGAAACGTCAAAGTTTTCATTTTCCTTGCCCCACTCTGATCTCTGCCCATTCTCTTTATCTGTTTGTCTAGTTATTTCTGCCTTTCTCTGTTATTTTCTCTGCTTTTTTATTACCCCCTGCCCTCCCAGCCTAACCACCAATAACAACTGCAATCCTGAACTACTTTTTGTTCTACCCGCAGTGCACCATATAATTCATTTCTCCTGAACTGCTCACACAAACAACTTCAACACTCGATAGTGCCCTTTCCTTGAGTTCTGAGCAATACACCTGCCAAGGCAGAGCTGCGTCATAGGCCTAAGCCTGCTAACGGTCAGAAAGAAAGACACTCTGGTTAATGGAAAAAAAATAAAACGCAGACTTTTCTGTTCTCACTTACTTGCACAAAAGACAAAACAACAAAAGACAAAATAAAAGCACACTTCGCCTAGATTCCTATCATCTTTCTTATCATGTTGCACCCCAGAATAACTTGCAAAATGCTCCCAAGCTGGTCTTGCTGTTCCAACCACAAAACTGCACCTCCTTTCTCAAGAAGAAAAACTAACAGGTGGAATGTTGAGTTAGGACTTGATACTGAGGAATGATCTCCACCTTACTGCGTCATGAAGAACACTTAAGAAATGCAACAACCAGGTTCCCAAAGATATCAAAGAAAGCCAAAACCAGCAAGAGATGGAAGAGTGGGATTTAACAAGCAGCAGTTATGCAAAAGATGTCCAAAGAGGACCAGGAGCCGTCAGGTGAGACAATAATATTTTCAGCTGGAGGTGGGTCTCATGTTCCTAGGCCAATTACATTTAAGTCACATAATAAAACAATCTTAGATAAAAAATGTTTTATATCTGAAGATCTCAATTACATGTAAATTCAATCTAATCCCTGTTGGTTTTCAAACTCTCCGCTCTACATTTTTGGAATTAAATTTAAGTATAATAGTCAAACAAAGAATTCAGCTGATGGACAGCAATCACTAATTTCATGCCACCCATACATTTATTTGTGGTTTATTGTTGTTGATTGTATGTCCTAAATGGTATCAATTCACTTCATTTTATATATTTTAGCATGAATTCATCTATTTTCTGATTATTTGTTTAGTTATGAAGTAAGTCCAATAGGTATTTGATTCATAATGAAACTTGTGTGTATATGAAAGTATAGGTCCCTGTACACTTGAGAAGAACTCTGTAGTAACCCTGAGATTAATAATACACAAATAATAATAGTTTCATCACTTTATATTAATTCATTGATTATTAAATCTGCTAAATGTCACGGTGTTGGTTTGTGTTTTATTTTGTACTTCCCTGCCTTGTTGTACCTGGGTTAGCTTCACTTTCTGCCCTGTAGTGTTATCCCCTCTGATTGTCTCCCGTCCCTGATTGTTTCCACCTGTGTTCAATCACCTGCACCTTCCCTGTATTTAAACCATGTGTGTCTCTTATCGCCTATCAGTCCATTGCATGTATTTCCCATGTTGGTAAGTTCATGTTCCTGGTCTGCATTTTGCCCCTTGGCATTTTTGATTTCGGTGATTAAAGTAATTTTGTGCTCAAGTTAGAGTTTGAGTCCTACTTCTGCCACCCCGCTGTGACAATTAAAGCAACAACTCAAAGCATAAGCGTTAACTTGCAAAACGTCAAACTATTGGGTAAAGTAGCAACCAATTCTGCCTCAATTGGCAACAAGGAATACAAATTAAAGGGGATTAAAACTCAACATCAACAACCAAAAGAATGAACTGTAATTTGTATCATTTCTATTTTCTGTCATGTAAAAACATTTGTCGTGTTGGATCCCGGAAAATACAGATTTTAATAATAAATGAGAATTTTGAGGAAAAATTAAAAAACGTGTTCGAGCCGTGGGTGGGGGCCAACCACCCTGCAACTTCCGTTGCCCTGCTTTCGGACCACACCCAACCTCATCCACACTTTTTGTGTTCTAGATGCCACTCGCATCTCCGCGGCCCTTTTGAGGTCCCCTCCCCTCACTTTGAAAGCATCCGGTGGTGTCTGAATACCGGGTGCTTCTCCAAGGCAAATGCGCGCGGGGTAGCATTACGCACAGCCGTCATAACGGTTCCACCCGTTATTACCAGCTAATCCCGGAGCAGCGACTCTTCACCGGGCGGAGCAACGCACGGATTCACAAGGAAGGACACGCACACGCTCGGGGCGGGACACCAAGGCGCACCGTGTGAAAGTAAACTGCAGGAGGGGACGAAGGTTTGCCGTGGCGGACTAGAGAGAGAATGGAGGGCGGAAAGGCAGGAATAATTCGAGGCTGGTTTCTGGATTAATCATCTTTGTTGTGACCTATAACGCCTCCATCCGTAGGCTACCACCCACCGGGCAGCACGCCGTGTCCAGCCTCGGGCACATCGACGCGGCGAGACGAGAGAGGTCAAGACAAAGTCACTTCTGTGGTTCAATTAAGCGGGGGGAGAGAGAGAGAGAGCGGGGGGTGGACGACCCATTGATTCTGCAGGGGGTGGACGCGGTTTTCCGATTGTGCACATATGTATTTCACTTCTTACCTTGAAGGCGGATTATCAAGTAGCCCTCCAACGAGAATGCTTACTATCCAATAACAAAGTGCAGATCGAATGCAAACAGCTGTGAGTAAGTGAGACGGGAAGCTGGTGCAGGAATGACAGCTGCTGGATGGCAGAGCAAATAGCGTGTAAAGGGGAGTTTGCGTGGAGACCGGCAGAGTAGCACCAAAAAGGACGACTGCGCCCGGTGCTTCACAGACCCTTGTCCTCACTCTCTCCGGACACCGATTCCAAGAGATTTTTTTTGTTACTCCCAAACGCTTAGGGTATTTCCTTAAAATATCCGATCACCGGAGTCTTGAGGACAATGCTGGATCTCATGTGGAGACCGATTGGACGCACAACGCGGCGGCGCGCCGATTTAACGGCGTTTCCATCCACGCTCACACTTCTGTTCCAGTAGATTGGCGGCGTGCACCGGATTTCTGTTGGGGTTTTGTCGGCTGCCACAAGACGCACAGGCCTACCCGCAAATGGGCTTTTAATGCAAACTCAACTGGAACTAACTGAGACGCATCGCTTGCCCCGCCGCCGCCGCCGCCGCTGCTCCAGGAGCCCCGCAGCGCGACCGGCGTTTCCCGGTGCCGGACCACACGTTCAGAAAGTGGATATGATTTCTTGTTTGGTTTGAAAATTGTCTGACTGCGAAGAGGATTATTTAACGTAGATTATTTAATTTTGTGTCTGGAGTGGAGTTGTTCCCCTGGCTTCACATTAAGAGGGGTCCCTGGAGGAGAAACCGCTTCTACCTAAACGCTGAGGAGGAGAGGGATGCGCGCAGGTATGCCAGTCTCTTTAACTACTTTTTCCATTTTTCCTCCCGCTGTCACCGTCTGCTCTGTGTGTGTCCTCTCGCTTGTTTGTGCCGCAACATTAGTGCGAGGTTCCTTTGCAATTTTGAAAAACAAAAAGCCGATTGACTACACATAGCAGGGGAGAGAGGGAATGGGGAGGCAAGGCAGATGGGGAGATAATGGCGCTGGTGTTATCACCCCATCCAAGAGAGATATGTCTTCTCTACAAAAGATGGAATAACTGGGGAGACGCTGAGAGGTAGGGGAGGGGGGGGGGGTGTAAAGCACGGTAACTGTGAAGAAATGGGTCTGAAACGGAACCGAGATGAGCAGAAATGGGATTAAATAGCACAGGAGGAGATGGGACAAAGATGAGTGTGAGAGTTTAGAGGCGAAGCGGTGATGCGGAGGGGGGGGGGGGAGGAAAAAGCCGAGGGGAGGAGATTGTTGCGACCTATTACATTTGGGAGAAAGCAGACGGGCTAGTGGAGCATTGGGGAGAGCACAGATGGGAGAGGAGGGAGACAGCAGGGGATTATAAGAGGCTGGTAGTGGGAGAGAGCAGAGGAGAGGGGGCTGATATGGAACGCAGAAGGAGCAGAGAGGAAAGGAGATAGGCCGGGTGATAGGTGAGGTGTTTAGGAGGAGGAGGAGGGGTGTGGTTGGGGCAAGACAGGTGAGATGGATGACTGTCAGAGTGGTGAGTAAATAAAATAGGAGGACAAGACAAGGTAACGGCATGGAATAGACAGACAGTCGCTCTGGGAAACGACCACCAAGACGTTGGCGAGGATTTTGAAAAAGTGCAGGTGTTGCAGCTGGTATTAAAACGATCCCTTAAGACAGGAACAGCAGTATGCTGGAGGCCAAGTGTAGAATACCCTGGAAGTGCTACGCTGTAGCAACTGCATGATATTATCCAACGGACCGCTGCGTAATGGTCCTTGCTGCACCACGGAAACAGAAGGAGAGACACAGAAAGCTGCACACAACCAACAATTTTGTTTTCCCCGTCAGCTCACAAGGTCCACTTTAACTGGTGGATATTGTCACATTTTGATGGGGTTCTGCAGTGGCTTTAACGCCCGTAAAACACATGTAAATACATTGGAGTTTCAATTCGGTTGTGCACTCAATTTGTCCTGCCAGGTCCCTACATTTGTTTACCAATGGATCAGGGGATGGATCAATATTAAATGGTTCTTTCCTATTGTATATTCATTCTCATTCTGTCTGGACGTAATAGGTTTTTACACGGCTTACAAAATTTGGAGAGAAAGATTACGTTTTAAATGGATTTCAGATTTCTTTAATCATGACCTCATTTGATCCGTTGCCATTTTCTACAAGATATCCACAGTAAAACTGTGAACACTGACATAAGATTTTAGAGCCTCAAACTAGCAGACACATCCAAAGGAGATCGCAGGCTGACCTTTCTTCAAACAGACACAGAAATACATTCAAATAAGGCTCATGTGTAATTAGTAATAATGGTAGATTGGATTGTAATGGTTTCCGACTTGATTCTCTACATCATCTTGGTTACTGACATTTCTTTCAGTCAGTGTACCGACATGCACGGTATTCCAGGTTATAGCTGATATTCTGCTCAAGGTCTTCTTTGAGAGGCACTGCTCATGCATCTTTACAGAATCCCACTCATGAATACCACTATACATGAAAAAAAGAAAACTTCCACACTGCCATGGAAACAGACTACACTGGCAGTAAAAAAAAAATAGAAATAAAATGTTTGAAGTGCCTCTGGGATACATTTTTTAAATTTATTTTCCCATTGTATAATCTTAAATATTCCCTAAAATAAACTGCAAACGCTAATAAACAGCAGTTTATTAGCATGTTTTCAAAAGCATTTCTGAACATCATGTTGTAGCAAAGGGAGATTTAAGATTGAACATACAATGTGTAATGATGTAAGTGGCCACACTTGTGAAGTCGCTGAATCAATGAAAACATTGAATGAAATATACATTCATGCGTAAACAAAGCTATTTGACTTTTATTTGAAAAAAAATATTCTATGTCTCTTATCTTGTATGTAATCCCCCTTGTTTGCTTGCTCATATCATAGTAAACAGAGGACTACATCTATCCATCCATCCATTGTCAAACCGCTTATCCTGCACACAGGGTCGTGGGGGGGCTGGAGTCCATCCCAGCCAACTTCGGGCGATAGACAGGGTACACCCTGGATTGGTCGCCAGCCAATCGCAGGGCAACACAGAGACACACAACCATGCACACTCACATTCACACAACTACGGGCAATTTAAAGTCCCCAATTAACCTGATCCCCAGAGCATGTCTTTGGACTGTGGGAGGAAGCCGGAGAACCCGGAGAGAACCCACGCAGACACAGGGAGAACATGCAGACTCCACACAGAAAGGCCACTGGGCGGAATCGAACCCAAGACCTTCTTGCTGTGAGGCGACAGTGCTAACCACCACGCCACCGTGCCGCCCGGACTACATCTAAATGAATTTAAATAGAATTCATGGATTTACATTCACGTATTAATCTTGTTTGTCATTACTGTGTGTTACAATTTGATAAGCATGTCAGTTACATATTACATACTACATATATAGTTCAAATGTGATGACTAGTCAAGGTCTGCCAGACCGCTTGGAAATATTGTCACTATCAAAATATACTCATTTGGCTTTTCCGCTGAAAAATGCAAAGATTGAAGACGCTATTTTATTGTCTACATCAGCGATTCCCAAAGTGTGGGCTGCGAAGGTACTGCAGGTGGGCTAATTTTCAATTTTTAAGTTTGAAATTAATATAAAATTATTCATGATGCGGCACATTAGTCATGTGAAACATTAGTTGATGAACCACAAACAATTTAAACGGACATATTAATAAAACAATAAGGCTCTCGCTCGAAACGGCTGCTCTTGTCCGCCTGTCGTTGTTCAACAAATGGGGCGCCCACTTCTAGTATTAAAGTAAATATGCCGCATTTTCCGCACTCCAAGGCGCACTTAAAAGCCTTTAATTTTCTCAAAAAACGACAGTGCCTTATAATCCGGAGCGCCTTATATATATATGGATCAATTGGTTAATCGGTTGATCCATACTGGTTGTACGCGGCGCTCAAGGCGCTCTGCCAAACATGCCAAAGCTCGTCTACGACGGCGAGATGCTGAGCGGCGCTCAAGCGTGTGAGATAAGGAGCTTGTTTCAGGGCGCGTCGGAGAAACAAAGCTGTCGTTCTCACCGAGCACTTCATGAGATTAAAGAACGAGAGACGGCGCCCTTTTCTCTACAGTAGCTGAACCATCTTAACAGGGAAAATAAGTTATTCTAAAAGCAGCCGAAGATTTAAGGCGTGGACGGGCGAGGGGGCGTCGGGAGCGGACGCACCTCGCGGCATCGATCGGACCCTGAAAGCACCGTCTCCACCTTACTGTCAAAAAGAACAGCGAGCGCGAAGCAGAGATTCTCCTCGCGAGCAATGAAGTTCACGTTTCGCAAGCGAGCAAATACCTCGCGGAGACGGACTTTTGCTCGCGGAGACGGACTGTTGCTCGCGGAGACGGACTTTTGCTCGCGGATGTTTGGTTTTGGTTAAATTCTTAAGGTCATTTAATCATTAGGTTTTGATCAGAGTTGTGATTAAAGGTTTGGGTGGGCCGCGAAAGATTTTCAGATTTCAAATTGGGCCGCGGCATTCTTGACTTTGGGAACCGCTGGTCTACATGATAAATATGAAGCTGCTGCCAGCAGCAGGTTAGCTAAACTAAGCATACAGACAGGATTCAGCTTAAAAGGTAACATAGTTCCCCATCTTAAGTCAGCCAATTACCATACCTACAAAATATCAGGTATTAAAATGTGACAGATCAATATACTGTAGGTAAAAACAAACTTTTGTGAAAGTGGCACTTCATGATTGATCTGGCTTATTAAGTTTTAGACTGAAGGTTAAAGAAGATATATATAAATGGAATAAGAAGGGCCACAAAGTGAGGGAGAAAAATTCTTTCAACACTGCAATCACACAGTACCAGTGGCAGGGCCGTGCATTTTCTACCTGGGTCTTCTGTACCGTCTCACAAGCATTGAATAACCCAATAACCTCATTATGACGCCACGTTTGTTTTGTGTAAACGCCTTGTATTCACATTAGCATCATGTAACATTTTATTACATGATGTTAACACCTACAAATGTACTATCAGACATGAATACGAGAATGGCGGGTTGCTGCATAATTAATGGTTAATGCACACCGTCAAATAAATGTAATTACCTCAATGACGAGAGCAAAAAAACAGTCGCGTTTATTTACAACAAAGCATGACAAAACAATCCATCACAACTGCGGCACTAAAGAGCACGGGCCTTCACATCCGAGGCAACGATATTAACCACATAATAAAAACCACACGATAGACAAATTAACATGCTACTGCAGATGTTAAAACACACAAGCAGTTCACTTGCCAAATGCTGCTCACTGTTTACAGACAAAATGCAACCTGAACTCTATATACAAAGATCTGCCAGCTAGCATTCTGTTTACAAAAGTCACACTGGCCCAATGACCAATCAGGGCACACGTTAATGCTGCGCGGTACCTTTACGAATGAAGCCCCCTAGGTGCCACTGGTACGTCAAAGAATACGGCCAACATGTCAAACTCAAGATCTGAATGGATGAAGACCATGACGATCTACAATATCGTCTCCGTATACTTCTATATGGATCAGATTATACTATAATCTGCAAAGCATACCTAGACAGCCCCAGGCCTCTCCTGCATAGAGACAGAAGGGGCTGAGTCGGGTTGAATAAAAGCTCTCTTTAAAACAAGCTGCACTGTAAGCAGTGCTGCAGGCTGAGAGCAGAGCTACAGAGGAAGACAGGAGATCTGCGATGAGAAAACGAGCTAATGGTAAGAATATTTATAATACATTACTATACGTAGTGTATTTACAGTAGGCTTAGCAT